CCCCCCCCACCCCCCCCGCTTGGATGCCAATCGCAAAAGAACGTTCTGGAACCCAAAACCCAAAACCCTAAACCCAAAACCCAAAACCCAAGCTGTGCAGAGGCTCGAAAAAACTTGTAAAACTCTCGAGCGACAAGGACGGCCGTGTGGCCTTCCCAGATGTTTCTGGATATTACTGTCCTCCTCCTCGTGCCAGACGGTTTAGGGGTTAAGCAGCCCGCTTCTGCTTGTACCTCTCCTCGCTCGCCGCCCCGCTCTCTGGTACAACTTCTTCGTAGCCTGGCATCTGGAAAGTCCACCCCCGCGGCCACACAACTCATGGCCGCCCAGATGCAATGGATTGCAACAGAGTGTGCAAGCGTTCCGTGCTTTCAGGGCCAAAGGCGGAGCACATCTGGCGCTCTGTAGCGCTTTAAGCTTAGCAGGTTTGGGGGGATTTGGGTGGGCTTAGGGGTGGTTTTGGGGGTTCAAGAGGTTTTGGGGGGGGGGGGGGGGGGGGGTGGGGTGGGGGGGGGGTGGGGGGGGGGTGGGGGGGGGTGGGGGGGGGGGTGGGGGGGGGGTGGGGGGGGGTGGGGGGGGGGGGTGGGGGGGGGGTGGGGGGGGGGGGGGGGGGGTGGGGGGGGGGTGGGGGGGGGTGGGGGGGGGGGGGGGTGGGGGGGGGGGTTGGGGGGGGGTGGGGTGGGCGGGGGGGGGGGGTTGGGGGGGGGGGAATGGGGGTTGGGGGAGGGGGGTTGGGATGTTAGGGGCTTTGGGACAGAGTGTGCCACGTGGAATAAACCATCCGTAAGCCCCAGCAGGCTTCTCCAAAATCTAGCAACGCAGGCATTCTGACCTCCTAGAGCCTCATGAGCCCTAAATTGCCAGGACCCTAAAACTCTGAGCCTCGTAAACCCGCTACCCGACCTACACCTCTTTTCACCGTATGTCCCAAACCCCAAGCCGAAGCCCTAGCACCCAAACCGATAAAAACTCTCGGCATCCAGGGCTACAGGGAAGGGCAAAGCACCGGGAAGAAGGGCCTTGAGCAGCGTGTGGCTATCACCTCCAGCGAGCAAGGATTGGGAGTCAATTGGGCAAGCACCAGATTGAAGATGTTCATCTTAAAGAGTACTTGTGGCCGGGGGGAAAGTTCCAGGTAATCCATGGAACCCCCCCCCCCCTCCCCAAAAGAAAAAGGAACCCCGATCTTCTCACCCCAGCTCCCCGAATTCGAGCCGCCCTCAGATGCACGGTTTTAGGCCACATTCAGAGTTCCCTGTCCCCCAAAGGCCGCCAAAAAAAAAACAAAGTCGAAGAGTCATACTCGGACCCCTGAGGATGTACCCCTAAGAGGTTCCCTTTTAGTATGCTCCTAGTATGACCCTTATATTCTCTTGGAGGACTTTCAAAGAAGGTTCCCAAACCCAAGGGTGAAACCTCAAGACCGCCCCAACCCCTAGATGCCCCAAACCCCACATCCCTTCGCCCCTAAACCCTAAACCCTAAGCCCTAAACCCTAAACCCAAAAC